CAGGCTGTTGACGATGGGAAATAAACTAAAATAATAATAATAAAAAAACTGTGGAGCCGCATTAAGACTAACTAGTGCATAGAGATAATATAATAAAGAATAAATAAATACATTTGTTTTACATAAGTTCTACCTTACAAGCAAGAAAAATCATCAAAATTTCAATTACTATTTTTAATGTGGATAAAACAGATTAAAATGTAGATTATACAACATGATTTGAAATGACATTTGGAATAAGAATATAAAAATGAGAATTAACTGAAATAGACCAAATGTTGACCACTGTTTATTATACTCCTGGAAAACCTTTTTCTTTTTACACAATAACGAGGCTTTGGTTTGTTGAATGTACATTTTTATATTGACAGTATGTCTCGTTTCTTCATATTTCTATCATTCAGTCCAATAAACAAGACATAGTGAAAGTCCTTAAAACGCCCATCTTTCTTTAGAGCCTCTTGAAACTAACAGTCAAGAGACTCTCTGGAACAAAGGGCTAAAAAAGACACTTCAATAGTTTTATAACACTTTTCTTCTACTTGAGTCATTTTAATTTGAAGAAAAGCTGTTCTTGTCTGAGTACAGTTTCTGATTACTCTACCAGGCTGTAGTAACTTCACTAATGAAGGAGAAACATATTTTAACTAAAAATGCATCAAACACAGAAACACACCTGCTGCTTATAGTAAAGTCAGACTTCTGGTTTGCACTCAGGCTTCATGTTTCTGATGTTACTGAGTCTGCAGAGCCTGTTGACCCACTTAGATGGCAAGTTATGCAGTAAAACACTTATTACTGACAGTAATTTGCACAGTACTTTCTTGTACACATTAACTTCTTGACGGCTTCACGCTTTGATTTGTTATAATTAAGCCACAGAAGCGATCAGATATCAGTTCTTCCCTCCTGGACTTGAATCACGTCTAAAACCCAGAAGGAATCATCACCGTTTTTAAGTGACTTTATTTATGTCACGTTTGATTCACTGGGACCCAATGGATAAACTGAGAGTTACAATCGCTGCTTTAACAGGTAAATATAACCTAGATTTCATTCTGTAATGAATGAAATTAATGATCAGAATGATGTTTCATTATCATTATGTCATGAGTTGTCGATCCTGTTTGTCTTCCTTTTATAGCTCGTGCAATTTCTTATTAATATATATTTTTTTATCTCAGGTAATCGGATGATTTATATTTTGTTTCTGGGTTTTCTTTCCTCATGCGGCTGTGCTGCTCCCGGTAAGTTTCGACTCCCGACATCATTTATAGCGCAGCATTCCCCTAAGAGTCCTTGTCTGCATGACGTCTTCATTTATCCGTTAAAGTCACTTGCTTCTCCTGATAAACCCTTGTTTGATCACCAGATCTTAAAATTTTTATGGAGCATTTATAGGACTAAAGTCAAATTTCTTGTTTGTAGACTCAAACTTGATTCTGATCCTAGTCAGGGGCGGCCCACACCTCCATGGGGCCCTAAGCGAAATTTGGTTTTGGGGCCCTCAGTTTCTGGTAATAAGTTGGATTGCTGCAATCAAAAGTCAGATGATTCAGTTTTTATACTTGCTGCAGGCATGTGCAGAGGGGCTAAAGAGGCCCCCAATTTTTAATTTTGTTTTTTTTTTT